TGTGTTGCATCTCTCCACTTTCCCAGTGCTGTTATCTGGCATTTGCTATCTCTCTCTCTTGGATTAGTAGGAGCAAAGACGGGGGCGCCCATGAATCAGCAGCAACATTTCAGTCTCTGGCTCCTGCAATGAGGCCCAATCTTTTAGCCCACAGTGTCCCCTAGTCAGTCTAATCTATTTACACTCTGCGAGTTAGAGTCCCTAGCTATAAAATGAAACCAACACACACATTCCCATTACAGAGCTCTTAAGCCCTGCAAGTTATAATTAATTTCTGCTGAAACACTGTGCATTAGCTGACAGTGACAGAGCAGACTTGACTAAGCCATGAAAAAAAACACTCAGAGATGAATGAAACTGAATCCCATTTTGAATCTGTTTTTCATAGTGACATACCATTTTTATTAAAGTTTTTCATGTAATGCATATACACTTCTATCTGGAGACATATCATTACACAAATAAACCTTTATATTCTGTTTACAAAGAATTAGAAAGCATTCTATCTTTCACATACGTAAGTATAAAAMCCCTGCAATCCAGCAATCTGAGAAGTTGTACTGACCAGTCTCAACCTAATAGGAATAGTCAAGATAACTGCAAGAGAAGGCCATGGCATCTCACAGTGGTTTATAGCTAAGGGATTTAACACAGATGAGATTTAGATCAAAGAACCTCCTATGTGGTTTTCAAATTCCTCCTCTGCACTTTAGAGAGCTCACAAAGATAAGGTTTGTCAGCAGGAAGATAGCACATCCTTAAAAACATATTTCTACAAGACATAGCTATTCTCACCCTCACAATACATTCAGAGGTCAAACCCATTCCAAAATAAAACAAACAAAAACACCTGATGGCCGACTAAATGGCAAATGCAAAAAAAAACCCACCAACAATAACAAAAAAAAAGAAAGATGTGCCAAGAACCCTCAGTTATTTCCTATTAGCTATAGGAATATCTATATTGCTRTATTTCTATAGCGTTTCCTATCGCTGATCCGCCCTGCAGAGCACGTTGCCATTTGCTTTGCTCCAGGTGGGTGAATCCAGGAGCAAGATGTGCACGGTCATTTTTCTTTCTCATTGCACTGTCTTGAGCTCTCCTGCCTAGTGCACATTTTCACTTCCTCAGTGCTGTTATCTTTGAGGCAACAATATCTGAATCAAACCCTGAAAAGTCACCGTGCAAAATTTTCCATTAGCTGCTTAGCCATGGCAGAACCCTGCATTAAGCAAGGCAGGTTAACCAGACAGGCCGGGCACGTTCCAGAGAATCAGGATCTAAGCAGATAACTATTTGTAACAACATGCAGTTCTTCACTACAAAGAAGGATGCATATAAACAAAATACAAATAAAAGATAAACAGATAATTAACTTGCAGGCATTATAAAAGGCAAAATATATGGTTCTTGTATTTATGCTTTTCTAGCATAGTAACATAAACATATAAGGAAAGTGAAACTTGATTTTCATTAATGCAACTCACACATTTTAAGGTCAGCTATTAAGCCAATTGGCTTTGGTATTAAATTATTAAGAACGTGATTCAAATGAATAATTGTTCAAAAAACAAGAATATCCAAAAAACATTTTACTGCAGTGCAAAAAACACCTAGGAATGCTTCAGCTGCTCACAATCTGTTCAACCGCACAGTTCAACGTGGTTTAAACAAAATTACAGCTTGCAAGTCAGGTATTACCACAGGCCTTTGAGAAGTTATTTTTACTAAGAGATTTCTTCTTGTTTCATTAAAATGAGTCAAAGGAAAGAAGTGAAAAGATTAAGTCAAGCCTTGAATTACTCGGTAATATGTCTCTCACACACGGATGTATTGGAAAATGATTTTAATGTTCATTTTAGAAAGAATCCCAAGAAGTGAATTTACCTAATAAAGCTGTTCATAATCATGAACCAATTTTGTGAATACTTGCATATACAAGGAGACCTAATTGTTTGGTTGAGATCACCCAGGAAAAAGATACAGAAGCAGGAGATCAGGAAAYTACCCCACTGAGTGCAGTTACCACCACTACAATAATTTTTAAATAACGAGCAACAATAATTCCTCAAATAAATAAGTAGCTGGGGATATGGTGTGTGTGGTTTTAAGTTGCACAGAAAGAACCAAAATTAATYAAAATCCTCTATTCAAAGGAAACAAAGTGTGCTGTGATAGTTTACAATAAATCCTATCCTTACAGTGGTGTGATGCAAAAAGGAAAAAGAAACCCAGAGAGCTGACAGAGCACTTCCACAGCAGTGAAAGGTTTGTATCCCAAAGCATCAACACTCCATTCACCAAACGGACCTCCACTAAACCAAACTGTCCCTCTGTTCATTCTTTTTTTCCTGTGGACAAAGAAGAATTCCCTCTATGGATTCCATCAAGTATCCTACCTTTTGCTTCTTCCCCATGCCCTTTTCCCCTTTTCTTGCCCAGCACTACTGGCATATGTCCTAGCCCTTCCCTGCCTTCAGTGCATGGCAGCATTCCCACCCACTTCCTCTCTTGGGATTCTGCCCATTTTCCTGCCATTTCAAATCCTTCTTACCCAAAATGAAATAAGCACAACAAGGAGCCTTCCCTCACTCAGTTGCTCCAGAGAAATAAATCCCTTCTGCCAGATCCATTCAGTTTCCSTCTAATAATCCCTCCAAAAAGTGGACAGGCTTTCTACCTGTCACTTATTTCTCTTTAGAGGTGAAGGGCTGAAAATAATGTCACTTGGTGGAGTCAGGAGGTGGATGAAGCTTTTGGCAACTCTCCCAGAAATCTCCTGTCTTGTTTCTGCACAGATATTGCAGGGGTAAAGTTGCAAACCTACAACAGTGCCACAGATCTCAGCCCAAGAACATATGTTCTTATGCTGTCAAGAGGGAGAACTGCAGTGAAAACATCACACGGTGCCAACCGCCCACAAGAGATAGATGGGTGCCCAAGCCCAACRCACAAAGCAGAAAATTAAGAATGTTCTCTTTGCTTTGCTTGAAACGCCCGTGTCATCTAGAATCAACGAAACCGTCTGGAACAAAGCACAGCCATCTCTTTTTGTTATCTGACTAGCTGAAGAAAACAACCTAATATTAAAAGAAAGTGACAAGTTGTTACTGTTCAAAAAGCCAAATATGTTTGTAAAAATTTCATGCCAGTACCTCAGTAAGTGACTGGTGAAAAAGACTACAAGAATGCACCCTCTGAAACAGTGTTACAGATGAAATTGTAGCTAATACTGGGAAAGAAAAGGAGAGTTATTAATATCAATTCTTAACAGGAATGAGATTCAGTATGAAATTTTGACTGACATGAAGAAATCAATAAGCTGAAACACTAATAAGCGATTTAKTGTGACTGAACTCAGTAGATTAATTCATAACATATTTTACACAGGTGATTATTATTTACTTCTAGTTGTTTTCAACGCCTTACCTATTAAAAATAGTACATTCGTGATCTGCTCCATTCAGGAGATTAATGAATATAGTGTGTTAAAAAATGGTAAAACAACTTATGAGTATGTGTTATACTAACCTATATTAGTTCTCTCCCACCTTCTTGATTTCAAGTTCTCTTGTGCCTAGCTTAAAATCACTACATGAGATCAAATGAATTCCTTTCCATATTGGTCCAATACACATCAAATATTTCCATGAAAATCAAGGGTAAGTACAACTAATGATGCAAGAAGACTAGTGTGAAGGATTAGCTGTTTAATTCTCTTCAATTTCTGCTAACTTCAGACACTCAAAGAAATCTGATTATGCTGTGCAAGGCCCTCAATAGCCATTCTTCTGGAGTAATAAAGTGTAGTCTTATTATGATTTCAGAAAAAAATATCGGAAAATGTTAACACTTCACATGGATTAGCTTATCTGCTTTCAGAATACAGTAAGAGACAGCTTTCAAAACAAGTATGTCTGTGACACACCACTCCAAATGATAAACCACAGACTCTTGCCTACCTGGAACCCTGCCCAAGCAGACACACGAAAGTATCACATTAAACTGACACCTCTGTGGTTTCTCTGTGGATTGTGGACTTCAATGCCTATGATCATTGTATTTTTCTCAATACTTTTGAAATAACTAGAGATAGATGAGTTTATTAGCAGTAAATAAAGACTTCATTATCTGCAATGTGGGTGTCCAGGGTGCAGAGTCTTTGTGTTTTAATACTACATATAATTAATAGCAAAAAGTGGTTTACTTTCCAACAGGGTTTTGTGCAGTACAGTCAGAAGGGTATTTCCACACTGCAACCCTTCATACAAAGACTCATTTCTATTAGAAAATATATGTTCTTTTCCTTTTGAGTTTGGTTTTAAATGATCTTCACAGTTTTGGGCTATGAAGTGGAGTGTAGAGAAACGAAGTATAGTTCTTTCATTTTTTTTTCAATATTGCACTCAGAAATATCTGCTGGCTTCTCTAGCAACTAATATAGCTCATGCAGAGATACTGAAATCTTACAATAAAAAAGGAAACAGAAAAAACACTGCATTTCATTGTTTTATTATTAATAAGGTTATYGAGGAGAGAAAATATTTGCAATTTTTGTTTTGCATTACTTGACTACTGGCTCAGACAGAGCTTGCAATGCTACAGCAGAAAGAAGGAGCCAGACTAACTGCAGACATGCAAATTATTCAGTGGCAGTTGGATTTCTATGGAGATCAGTAGAAATCATTATAGACACGGCCTATTTGCATTCAAAGAAAATGTGCCTATTTAGGTCCTGCTTTGCAAAGTAATGAGTAATCAGAGCTGCAACTACAGTTWCCAGCAAAATCAAATTTCTAGAACACCCACTGTGGGTATTACTGAGAAAGTTCAATGATGAGGACAGTTGTATTAGTTGCAATAGTATTCTCCTTATGTTATAGTGCGTTGGGCAAAGCCATAAAACAAAGGTTTAAAGCAGGAGCAGGTGAGAGAAGGACAACACAACTGGAGATTAAGGCATGTTTCTCATTTATCAGACAAAGAGGGGAAAAAATACCTTTCTTTCATGACTGCCAGGTACTCCGGGGTTGTTCTGCTTGAGAAATCCTGCTGTTGTGGACCACCTTGTGGGATTTTTTCGTGATGGCTCTTCTGAAGAAAAGTTTGTATCACTTACAGAGGTTGAGAGGCCAATCAGTGCAGGGTCACTACTACGCCGTACATGAAGAGGCATATCTGAAGAATAAAACAGACAGTAAATAAACACCGAGTAGTTTAAACAYGCTTTTCAGATTGGAAAAATATTGTTTTAAGCTCTGGATGGGTGGTTTTGACCAAATGTGGTTTTGCAGAGCAGCTCGTTATTGACCTCAGCTTAGCTCCTCAAGGCCGCAGCGTGTCACAGCCTTGCTGCTTGAGCGTCTGAGAAGAAAACAAGGCCCAAAAAAACCTCTTTGAACCTAGCCAAGTTCTTCTGCTTTTTAAGTACAAATATGATACCACTAATATCCATGAGATTTTGTGCAGAAAAACAAAATAGTATGAGCCTGGGGAACTAACAGTCTACAGTCATTTACAGAGCTTCCTAAAGAGGAAATACATGAAGGCCTAAACTTAACAGCCTGGTGTCAGAGTAAAGGGTGGACTCGGGCCCCTTATTATGGCCAAGACTGTTGAAGAGCAACTGCTGTTGAAAAGCAAGTCCTTCCGCAGCACCTCACTGCCAAGATACCCATGTGGGCACCTGGGTATCAAACTCTTCTCAGTGAAAGGCTGTGAACAGGAGTCCTCTCCTGTGCTCCATGCCTTTCCCAAAGCGCCTGGACGTGACTGCTTTCTCCATTCTGCCCTTAACTTTCTGACAGCTGAAACAAGGTCTGTGCTCATTTATCCCGATTCCCTTCGCCTTCCAGCTGGCATGACTGACAGAATAAAAATATTTCATTAGTAATAAACGATGTAGCAGGCAGGCAGGCTGAGTGAAAAGAGATCTTTTTTAGATACGTGAAGAGGTCAAACCCATTCTGGAAACTATGATGGCAAGTTGAACTTAGTTTCTTTTGAAACACAGCTTAATTTTTCCCATTTCATTTATTATCCTGCAACAAATATCCAGACATCTATAGTCTCATCCAGACATCTATGGTCTCCTCGCACAAACAGAAGTTTCATTGCCTGCATTTATGACCTCTTAGCACTCTCCTGTTCAGTACGGGAATTGATGTGACCTATGTGATTTATCATTTTTATTTCTTTTAACCACTGCATTCAGAACCTTGAATGCAAAATTGAAAAAGGGAAAGCTGTGACAGGCAAGCTGCAGAGTTTCTGGCAAAGACACACTGGACAACACCCAAAAAAGAAAACCAGAATTAGTTTTCGATGTTCTGATGAAGCAGTCTCTGAAGAAGCTGACCAACAACAGGAGTTTGATGAGTGAACAGTCCAAGTTTTGTAACATATTTAAGCTAATGCTACACCTAATAATATTAACGTAAAGAATCCTATCATGCATGGCATTATAAAGACCTTCAAAGAGTGGTAGGTCATGCCACATTACAAGCAAATGGGTAAGTTGTTTTTTTCTTGGAGCAACTAGGACTTCTGTTGCTAGGAAATGGGCTAGTAGGACACAAGAGGACACTGGAACAGTCATTCTACCTAAATCCTGTCCAATCTGGTAAGTAATAAGGATTAATAAATATTTTTTACCCACTATCATTACACCTCCTTTGAAAATTCTTATATTGTTTTCATTTTTATAAATACAGATAGTCGCTACAGTTAGTTTTAAGCAAAGAAAATGCTTTCTTTTGTAAGGATGCATATATATTGTATTTAATATAATGGAACTAGGAGTAATTAAAGATATTTTAGGAAGATCTTTTTAATTATGCATGTTTGGTCAGATTAATTCTACTTAGATTTTGATTATTCAGTAAGCATATCCTCAGACAACTCATAACAGAGGTTCTTCCTTGTCTTCAGCTCCTTCAAGTTTCATGCAGCAGCTGAAGGCAAAGCCTCTCGTTTTCCCCTCGATAGTAAACATGGTTAAGAGTACACTATCATATCCCAAGGGATCTGTACAGTACAGATGACACAGCTGCAGTCACAGGCAGCAGTCCCACCGAGCGTAATGAAGTGACCCATTAACAGCGGTGTCTGCTGCGGGCTTAGCTCTGTGCATACACTCTCATTTATTAGATTAGCCTGGTCAAGAAAGTGGCTCTGCAGTATGAGTGGTGCCACTTAAGAAAAATACCCATTTCTATTTGTTCCAAGCAACAGTCCATGCATATTATCCTGTTTGCCTTAGCTACCAACCCTACAACATAGAATTCGCATTTTCAAACATGAGTTCACTTGCTCCTTATGCTTGTAAATCTATATATAAGCATGGTGAAAACAAAATGTTCTTTTATTTTTACACTCTTTCTTCAAATTACTTGACATAATGAAAGTTAATTTCAGTGAACTTCCATAGGAAGAGAAGCTAAATTGCCAACAAAGAAATAAAGAAAGAAAACTCAAGTCAGCACATTTGGAGAAGAGAGAGCAATTATCGTGTCAGTGCCTTTTTCTTTGTAACTAAAAAGTGACAGTTTGAACCATGTTAAGTAGCAGAAACTTCTTCCCATTCAGAAAGTTAATCATCCAAGAGATTCCCAAACATTAATATATGTTCCAGGAAAAAAAACATTAATATCAGAAGTCTCCTTGTGTAACTCATTGCCTGATAAGTCATTTTAAGTTAAGTTATTGAGATATTTTGAGGTATTGGCAGGACACATCTCCAAATCCCCAACAAAATGTAGTTCTGCCAATGAGAAGAAAGAACTCGATCATTTCGAGCATCTCTTCAGGAGGATGGCTGAACACATAAGGAGAGATACTGCTAAACGAATGTCACAACTATGAATTACGAAACACCATCACTTGGGCCAGTTGAATTTATGCAAACCCAACCTAGACCAAAAAATCAGTTTTTATTGCTGGCACGGGGCAGGCAAATGGAGCTAGCTCTRCTGCATCCTGCTTGGGTATGGTCAACACTTCTCCAGCTGTTAATCCAGAAATGCAACCTTATTCACACTGTATTAACTACAGGTTAATCGCCTTTATACATCCATTGCAGTTCAAGAGATTGTTGCTATTCAGTTTTGATACTATCCATTAAAACAACAAATATTGAACAGGTTCTTTCTCCTGATATGTTGTTCATTACAATCTTCTGGTTTACTTAAATTCATAGATTTGAAGAAGATATACTTTGAAATATTAAAAGGAAAATCAAAGGAAAGGAACTTAATAATTAAACCACAAGATGAAGTACGCGGGGGACCRATGCAATGTCACTGACTCCAGGATGATGGCTGATACCGTTTGAAGTCTGTGGTTTCTTTGAAGAGTGGATAAAACAGCAATGAACTCTAATCGCAAGGCTTCAAATTCTCCGTGGCACTAATGCACTGTAAATATTGATTTGCTTCCACGGCTAAGGTGCCTTTTAAATAAGCACTTGAAATGGTAAATCTAATAATGAATTACAGGAAGTTTTAAAAGTCTAAGAATTAAGGAAGTATTAAATTAAAAATCATGAAAGTTACTGCTAACTCAGTTCTTGTGCCATATTCATGGACCATAAGCATTCAGCCACAAGTTCAGCAACACAGTTTGAAAAAGAACAATATGTAATAGAGAATCCCATTAAATTATGTGTATAGTCCCTGTTAAATTAAAGAAAATAGTAGGATAAAACTCACAGGATAAAATATAATCTGGATAACAAAATGCCCACATTGTAAGCATGAAATGTGGACTGGAAACCTCATTTTATTAAAAAGAACAGAAGTCTCACTATAAATTATAAAAACAGCCATCATACATTTTATAACCACCTGTAAATGTTAAGATCACACAGCTGTACCTTTCTTTCCGGCCACCACTTCCATTTTTATTTTAAAAGGGTCATCACCTTTCCTGATTATAAAATATGCTCACGAGCAAAAGTATTTGAGGTTCTGGCAAATTTTATATGTAAACCCATCCTGTATGGGGCCACTGAATGCAAATGATGGTCTTTCACTGCAGAGCTTATACACAGGTAAAGATACATAATGTTCTCATATCCATTTCTTCTCAGGTGCCAGCTTGGGAGGACATGTTTGCCAAAATTAAAAATACAGAGCATAGCCAGGAACTCTCTACTCTGTGAAGATTTCAACTGATGTTTCATTTCCTCAGTGTCACTGGCGACTCACACTCTTCTGCTGCAGTGATTTTAAGTTGGAAATGAAAAATGGTCTTTTGGTCACCTCTCGCCACCTACACACCAACAATCTGCTGCGACCATAACTTACGAGTAGACCGATATCTATAGACAGCAACCACCATAAGCTCACAACTCTCTACAAGAAAACAAAACAGTGCAAACCAGAGGTAGGTGTCTAGTTAAGAGAATATAAAAATATTTAGACGTATAAGGACATTCCTAGGATAAAAAAAAAAAACTCCCTGTAAAAGAGCATTCTTCACTGCAAGAGCCAATGCACACGTGTGATCTGCAGGTGAGCGCTGGGGCAGACGTGAAGCGGCAGCGCTGCTTAGCCCACGGCAGCTGCCGCAGAGCCCTGCAGCAGCAGGCTTGGGGACACCCCAGCAATGGAGAATGTCTCATTCACTCTCCTTGGGGCCCACAGCAGTAGCTTTTCTTCCTACAGAATCCATCCTACTTCTGCTTAATAAAGGAACATCTCCCAAACTTAATATTCTTAATGAAAATCTTCAGAAGTTATTTGTTCTGAATTTTTCGGTCCCCACTTTTCACTAGTTATCTCCCCTTTGCCTGCAGAGCTATCTTTTCCTTTCATGTGTCTCAGAAAATTACAGCATTGTCCATCCTTTTCATCACCGCATGGTGCTAGGCAATGCATATGTTCAYCACGGACTTAGCTTAATTCACTGCTGCTGTTCAGTTTTATAAATATTTTTTCTGGGCTTAACTTGTTCACAAATCACTTAGAATAATGTACTTTACTTACAAGATAGCYCCAGCGCTGTCTTACAAGGAGCATCCTCACTCGGGCATTAATTTATACCCAAGAATAATCCCACTTGGCCTTTCCTGTCATATGAATTCCAAGCATGCACTGCAATCCCTAAACTTTTTCAGTAGCTGTAGTATACCATCTTTGTCTTTCTCATTAAAGCATGTGTTCAATTTAGATCAATAT